TCTTCTAGTTCTCAGGGCAGCATCCTTTCTTCCCCATCCTTTGATGTGGGGATCAAGGAGCCAAGCGCCAGCTTCTTGTCTTCACTCTCTGTTTCTGCTGGAAGGGTTTAGTAGTAGCTGGCAAGGTTCAAAAGGTCTGAGTTTTGGGTCCTTGGAATTGGATGGACCCGAGTTTAAATTCACACCCTGTCAGTTAAGCTCAGAGAAATATAACCTTAATGTTTTGTTTCTTCCTCTGTGTTGAAAAGGGATAATAATGATTCCTGTCATATAATGTGATTTCTTGAGAAAAAAAATCTGCTCCTTTCTCATTTATATCTCCCCAGAGATCACACAGTGTCGTGGCAAATCTGAGAACTGTGATACTAGTTACCAGAGCTGCACTGTTGGGCTAAGGAAGATGCCAGTGTAAAACTTAGATCGTGGAAATCACTCACTTCAGCTTTCTCCCAATGGATTTCTGAGGCTTATGAAGGTTAAATGAACTGTTCCAGGTCACAAAACCCACTGATGGGAGTGAAAAGGAAGGATTAATTATTTTAGAACAGGATAGGGGCTGAACTTATTCATTTCCAAGCTCTGGTGTGAACAAGGTACCCTGATACCTAAGTACTAATCTGATGGCCAAATCTTTCTCTGTTAGATGGTTACTAAGTTCCCCTTGGAACTGAATACATCAGTGATTAGAATCATAGGTGAAGGTATTCACCCAAAGGTGGCAAACTGGAACTTCTTCCTCTGCTGTGGGAGTTGGGTTGAATACACCCTCTGGGGTTGTTTGCCTAGCTCTGCCTTTCTAATATTTTCCTTGGAGACAAAATGCCATAGAAAACAAATAGTTTTTCCTCCTGTTTGCTGGACACATCACGGAATGTTGTATTTAAATTGGAAGATAAACCTGGTTTAAAAAAATATTTACCTTGAATAGCAACAGGCATGTTAAGAGGTCACAAATAGCATCTGTGTGTCTCAGAGGCCGTGGCTTGGGGTCCACTCCATGGCCAGAGCACCCTTCTCCCAAACTGTAGTTATTTCTATTGCTTATTTCTTGGAAAATCAAATTAAGCCAGGGAGAAAGCTGCAACGATTCTGGAGGTAGTATCCTCATGTGCTTGCAGAGAGTGTGCTCTCTGGCAGAACGACACCAGAGTTGAGTATGCTAGTCACAGAGACAACAAGCTTGCAAAATAGAAGAAACAGCAAATGCCAGCACAGCAACTGACTCTGTTCATTCTTGGAAGTCAGGGTTTCTGATTCTGCTATTAGTTTTCACTCGAGTCTGTCTACAGACTCTGAGGATGCCAACATCCTCCTCAGTCAAACAGTGGGCTTCAGATGGCCACAGAACATCTGTCTCAGAGGTGAGCACAGGTTCAGGATTTCAGGCAGCAGAAGACTCTCAGGACTAAGCAGGGCAACCAGAGAGCTAAGCCTGTTGGGATGCTCCAGAGAACCTCACTGTAGAGTACCATGTGTACAGGATTTGGAACTAAAGCTTAGGGATGCCATTTATGCTCTGGGCCTCTTTTTCCTACACAGAAAGAAGGAGTTGTATGATAAAGTGCTTCTGGACCTTTCTACTTTGGACAACATGACCATCTTGTACTTGGTTTTCATCCACATACAGTCATGACTGAGGGGATCCTTGCCCTTGAGCCTCGGAACTAAACTCTGGTCATCCCATCTCTTCAGAATCATTGCTCCATGTGTTTTTCCAGATGCCCTTGGTGTGGGCAGGTAAAAGTGACTCAGTTTCAGGGATGTAGAAAGTAGATGTTTTCCTCCAACAGGAAGCCCGGAGGGGTGCTATGATACTCATTAAATTGCTGTCATGTCAGAAGGGGTTTTTATGTTATGTTTTTAATATAGAGGGATATATAATGATGGTTTTGTTATTGGGCACAAAAACATCCCACTACAGCATCCTCCCTCTACTGCTCTAGGCAGTGGAAGTGATAAGGCCCAGCTTTCATCCACTACAACTCTGAATTGCTCACAGTGAAAGTTGTACCTCAAGACTCCTGGGGAAAATGCCTTGCATAGAGACAAATTAAAAATGATTTTATTATTATTATTTTTAGAATTTATACACCAGCATTGTATTTACATTATTTCAACCCCATAATGTCCCACTTCCAAACCCTCCCACGTCCATCCAACTCCCTCTGAACTCTCAACTTCGTGAGCTCTTCTTTATTTTTAAACACACACACACACACACACACACACACACACACACACACACACACACACACACAGAGGTTTTCTCCAGTGTCTATTTAGTGATGTATATGCATTTGGGGCTGAACACCCAGAATTGGATAACTTATCAGAAAGATTGTTCCTAGAGAAGACTGAGTCTCACTCTCCTATCAGCCTTTAATTGCCTGTAGCTCTTCACCTAGGAGGGGGCCTTGTGACATTTCCCCAGTCCACACTGGGATCTTAACTGGTATTGTCATTGTGCAAGTCTTACAAACAGATGCATTTTTAACAGAGCTGTACTATGGGACATGACGTAGCAAACTCATTTGAAGGGGGATAAATCACTGTCTTTGTAATGTTGGTTCACTTGGCAACTTTGAATTCTCATACTTGGAGTCAGGCACTCAGGGGACAGCACACGCTTTGATTAGATGGAATACATGGCTCATTAAAATGATCCATTATGTGACAGAGTTGAAAACCCGACAATTAGATCGTTCCACCCAGGCCTGGTTCATTTATCTCCCTCATGTGTACCAGAATTCCCAACACCTACTAAACACTCAATAAACTTTGATTAAATAAGTAAAGAGAAAGTGTTCACAAAGTAACCTTGATTAAAAAGAGAGAGAAAGAAAGAGAGAGAGAACAAAATACAGGTGCAGTATGATTACAACTAAGTAACAAATAAATTTATATGTGCATGTGTCATAGATAAATACCAAAAAGGGGGCACAAATACAGAACTGTGGGAGAGATGCCATTTCTTTTAAGCATTTGAGCTGGGTGGTGGTGGCGCATGCCTTTAATCCCAATACTTGGGAGGCAGAGGTAGGCAGATCTCTGTGAGTTCAAGATCAGCCTGGTCTACAGAGTGAGTTTTGAATAATATTCTAAAGTTACTTTAGTAAGAAAAGTCAAAAGATGATGTTGGCTTTTAGCAGGGGTAATATGGCAGAGGAACTTGGCTCTGATTAGAATCACTTTGAGCCAATTAAAACCCCTGACCCTCAGTTTCCTAACCTGGAAAGAGAGGTCAGTGACAGAGGCTTTATTCTGTGCTATTATGAGGTTCAAACTAGATATAAGGTCCTGGTCCATGATCACCACTTGTTTTTGGAAATCCTTCCTGATGAATTTATTGCAAATCAGGTCAGCATTGAGCTTGGTGGGTACTGGACCCTCAATAACGAAGGATCTCCACGATAGTGGTAACCAGGATCTCCCTGGTAACAACAGCTTCAGCCCAGGCCCAGCTTCTAAGGTATTGACAGGTGAAGGATAAAATCTATTTGAAACCCCTCAGGAGATGCTGGAAGAATTACTGAAATTAGATATTCTGTACTCATCTACAGAGGCAACGACGCACTCTTGGAGTCTGAGGATAGCTTTAATAGTTGTTTGGAATATACTCAAATAACCTGACTGGGAGAAGGGAACTCAGTTTAGAGCAAAACTTGAGGTCTGGCCTTGTTGAGCACCTGTAAGCATTGTACCACCACCCAGCCCCATGTATAATAGGCCAGTCAGGAGACACAGAAAGAGGGAGAGATTTTAGAAATGGCAGTATTTCTCTGTAGGTGATCAGGTCTAAAGAGGTACATACATAAACATATTTTTTGTCAGTATATACTATAAATACTATATACATGTACTGATCATATGACTGATATTTAACCTGTAATATATCTCCAGATTTTTGATTTTTAAAAGAACACACTCTGATCTTAAACTCAAAAATAAATATTTGGAAGGAATTCCCTTGAAGTATATTATAGACATGTATGGAATTATCATAATGGAACTCATTTTTATATAATTCACATATTCCAATAAAATTATAGTTTATAAAATATGACAATTGGATAGAGTTATATTTTGTTTCCTTTGTGAAAAGAACTAAATTGTTTCAGAAGTTTGAATTAAGCAAACAATTTTGAAAATGAAGAAAAAGAGGAGTGTATTTTTTTTTCCTTCCTTTTTTTGGTTTTTTGAGTAGCGTTTCTCTGTGTAGCACTGGCTGTCCTGGAACTCACTCTGTAGACCAGGCTGAGTTCAAGAACTCAGAAAGATCTGCCTGCCTCTGCCTCCTGAGTGCTGGGATTAAAGGCATGCACCTCCACCATGTGGTAAAACTTTCTTCCTTTCTTCCTTTCTTCCTTTCTTCCTTTCTTCCTTTCTTCCTTTCTTCCTTCCTTCCTTCCTTCCTTCCTTCCTTCCTTCCTTCCTTCCTTCCTTTCTTTCTTTTTCTGCTAGCCACAGGGCTGGGAATTATAGCCAGAAACAATTACAGTAGCAGACAAACTCTTGACTGGGGGTTAAGCTCCCTTGGTGACAAAGCTGAGGTGCCTTGGCTCAGTTTCTTTCACTTGATCTGCAGGATGCAAATCTGATTGTCTCAAACATTTCAGCCTGTGGCCTTGTTTTTGAACTTTAGTTCATGCACTGAGGCAACTTGCCTTGAAAATGCAGAACACACTCTAGTCTCACCATTGGCTGCTCTCTGGGAGAGTAGCCCCAAGGAGGGTTGCAAACTTCGTGGGACCATGGAAGCAAGGGAAGAAGTAAGTCCAGGGCATAGTGGGCACAGGGGAGAAAGACGAAAAAGCAAGGGGACTTAGAAATAAAGGGGGTTGGGAAAGGAAAGCCCTCTACTTCACAACCATGAGGAAAGTGTCAGGGTCAAGAGGATCCTGAGAAAGAAACAGCCCATGTGGATATAATTATTCCACAAAAGTGTCCCCTCCCCAATCTTCCTTCTGACCCAAGAGCTCCTGGCTCAAACAGCCTGTTACCTCATTGTTGGTGCCGACATCTAGCAGGACAGGAAGGCACTGCTGTGGATTCACCCCTCCGCATGCTGTGTACAGGGCCAGCTTGCCCACAGGGATGCCCATGCCGTAGCAGCCTAGGTCTCCCAAGCCCAGTATGCGCTCTCCATCAGTCACCACAACTGCCTGAAAAACACAGCAGGACACCCTCAATCAGGAGCACCACCTCCATGGCAAAGTGCTTATTTCAAAGTCTCAACAGTCTGGCCTGACAGCTGGATACCCGCTGTCTTTGTTGGGAATAAAGCAGCCTGTCTGGGACCAGGCCAGAGGATTCATCAACTGCAGGTGGCTGGGCTGGCCCTTTCTGGCAAGTGGGCGAGGAACCTCACTGAGGAGGCCAAGTGACAGAAAGACAGCATTCCTTGCATTCTGAAGATTAGGTTGGGAGTGGCAAAAACAGCTGGAGAGAAATCACATATAGTTTCTCTCTCTCTCTCTCTCACTCTCTCTCTCTCTCTCTCTCTCTCTCTCTCTCTCTCTGTGTGTGTGTGTGTGTCTGTCTGTCTGTCTGTCTGTCTTAGCAAGAGACAGGGAGTGATGTAAGAAAGTTTATGTTGCTGTTACAGCCACAGCATTTTGAGGACAATTTGCAAGGAACAGAACTGGTAACATTTTCTAGAATCACATATCCTGGAATCAGGTAGATTCTTTGGTTGTGTGAGGATAATCTGTTGGCAAAGGATCACTGAGGGCCAGCTATGTACTAGATACAGTTCTGGTACAAATCTTACCTTTATCAGATGTTGATGGCACTCAGAGTGATGACAGATATGATTTTATGATCATTTATTCATTCACTTAATAAATACTCACAAAGCACCTGCTTGCTAGTAAGACATATCCTTGGGGAAACAACTTTAGTTTTCTTACCTATAAAATTAAGTATGTGTGGACCCAAATGAGAGAGGAAGCATATTTATCAACAGTTGTAGCTTTGGGGCAGAGCCTGAATGCATCAGTACAATCTATGCAGGGAGAGTAGAGATTGAGATGTCCCTGTATGGTGACCCACTCTTGTAAGTTCTGTAGATGAGAGAATACACACACACAAGACTTTGGACAAGAAGTGATTGTGAGGGCGCAGACAGAATGCAAGATTTTCAATAGGTGTTGTGGAATATTACTTTAATTAGGCAAATAATGTGTTACATTTGTTTATGTTGTGAAATATTACTTTAACTGTGCAAAGGTGTGTTATATTTGCTTCACAATGTAAGGATATGTGTTTAATTATGTAAAGATGTGTTGCATTTGTTTCCCCTTGCCTGCCTAAGGCACCTGATCGGACTAATAAAAAGCTGAACAGTTGATAGTTAGGCAGGAGAGGGATAGGCAGGGCTGGCAGGCAGAGAGAAGAGAAGGAGAGAATGAGGGACAAATCCAAGGCTTCTAGAAGCCAGGCAGTCACTAGACAGATATCTGTCTATAAGCCAGACAGATATCAGAAGCAGTGAAAGTAAGATATACAGAAGAAAATAAAATAAAATAAAGGTGAAAAGTACCAAGGCAAAACACAGATAAAAAGAAACAGATTAAAATAAGAGCTAAGCTAAGGCTGAGCATTCACAACTAATAATAAGTCTATGTGTCATGATCTGGGAGCTGGTTGGTGGCCCAAAAGAGAAAACCTGGTACAAATAGGAAAGAAAGTTAAGGTCGAGGATAGATTTGCATAAAATGTGTAAGAAGCAAGGTGTAAATTATATGAATGCCAGAATGGGAAGTGAGGGATAAGTCAGTGATGGGTCATGAACATCAGGACAGGGGGGACTTCCACAGGATGATAGTGAAGTTGTTTATATGTCACTGCAACAAGCACACCATCATGGTCTCCCATTGTCCCTGGAAGAGTTAAATCTATAGGCATCTCATCCATCTATTGAAACATGACTTCTTCCAGGCCTGAAGACAAGCTCTGAGCGATAGATGCCCTATGTAACCCCATGGTACCAATGAGCATCTAAGGGTTTAGTTAGTCTATGCAAGGTCAATTCTAGGATAAAGCAATAAAGTCCCATTCTTGCTCCAGTTGTGGTTCAGTGCACAAAGGTTATTTTCTCACTTCCTTAGCTCCTCTACAGGGGTGAAACATACATGGGCTGCTTCTGCCTTTTTTGCAGGAAAAGGTGCAAAGATTCTAGAAACACTCATCCACTTTAGTTGAGAGTTTTGGAGAGTGCAACAGACCCATGAAAATCCTATTTCCCTGTCACATTGTTCTACCACTTTTGTGGAGAGTAATCACAACCCACATCTCACACTCCCTCCATCTCTCATGGTCTGGACACAGGAAGGGCTAACGCTGTTAATTCCACTTCACGAGTGAGCAAGTTGAAGCTCAAAATTTTCCTGGTCTACATATACTTGCCATGTCTTGCCATATATTAGCAAGTATACAACCCAAGTTCCAGTAATTGGGTTGATGGTTTCACATTAGTTATCTTAGAAAGCCTAGATGACTTGTCAAGGTTAACTTGGCAAATGTGGGACCCTTCCTAGTCAGTAAGGCTTTAGGCTTCTGGCTCAGTGGTGTTTTTGCCACTCTGTCTCGCTGGGATAAAGCACCTGTGCTCTTGGCAAGTCCTGCCCTGCCTTAGCACCCTGTTTCTGTGCCTGCCTCTGCCCTCCTCCTGGCAGCATTTCCAGCTAGAGCTTGTACCCTCTGCCTCTGGAGCCCCAACTTACATTTCTGTATCTTCTGGTCTGTTCAAATTGAAGCTTACTGAGTAAGGTTCCCCTCCTGAGGAAATTCTTTGCTCTGTTTAGAGGGAAGCTGTTGTGTACCTATTTGCTCTGAATTAAAACATTCCCACCTGTGGAGAGGAGGCCAATAAAACTCAGGAAGTAAACACAACACACAAGGCTCAGGGATTAGAAGTTTACAGGAAGCTCCTGAAAGTTACAGGAATCATGAGATCCTTCCCAAAGATTATATAAGCAGTGACAATTGCTGGGGAGGAGAGACTCTTTGAATGACCAAACTTCCTGCAAGTTGAGCAGAAAGATCCAGGCATGCAGCTGCCTAGGAGTCATTTATGCTCCTGTAAGTAGCGTCTCAACCATATGACATTTCCAGGATCAAAAATAGTGCTGGGTAGTTATAGGTCAACTTGACACAGAGTCATTAGGAAGTGGGGACCCCACAGGATTTGCTGGTAGGCAAGTGTGTAGTGCATACCCTTGGTTGCTGATTGATGGAGGAGGACCCAGTCCATTGTGGGTGGTGCCATCTCTAAACTGGTGGGACTAGGTGCTATTAAAAAAAAAGTGAGCTGAGCAAACCATGAGGGAACAAGCCAGGAAGCAGTGATCCAACATGTCCTCTGTGTCAGTTCCTGCCTCTAGGTTCTTGCTTTGGGTTCCTGTCTGTCTTCTCTTCAAGATAGACTATAAGTTGTATGATGAAATAAACCCTTTCCTCCCCAAGTTGCTTTTTTTTTTTTTTTCTTTTACAAAAACAGAAACTATAACTAAGGCAAAGACCTTCAGGGATTTCTAACTGCCCGTATGGACACCTAAGTCTGTATATTGTTTAACATACCTTCTGAAAGTTGTTGTGTATCTATGTATCACTGGATTGTCTGGCTAGTGGTTTCTTCTCTCTTAGGAACATCTCTCTCTCTCTTAACCTTTATATTCATTTTTTTTTTCTTCTGGAGGATCTTTCTCCCAATTCTCTTCCTTGACAAATGTGGTAGCATTTTTCATTCTTATGAACTGTTAACACTTGTTACATCTAATACACATACTCTTGGTCACCTTCGACATTCTGCAAGCACTTATTAAGAACCTACGGGTACCAAGACTCACACAAAATACTGTATGTCGAATCCCATCACTCCTTGTTCAAATGAATTCTTATATTCTTCTCTTCTTTGAAATATTTTGCTTTTCTGCCTTCCTGTCAGGGGCTAGGTAAGGTCAAAGGCTCTTGGGGGTTCTGTGTATGGAGCAAAGAGCTCTAAGCTTTTGTTTCCTGTCAGGGTCATTCTTGGCAAGGCCAGCAATGAGCTCATGCCAGGGCTCTGGAGCGCCCCCCCCCCCACAAAGCCAGAGCCTGACACTTGACAATTTCCCTGTAAAGCTGTGGCCATATGTTCCAGATACAGAGATGTGACATGCTTTGCTTATCGCACCAGCATGGATCTTGCAACAGGAACTAAAGTTACACCAAGTTCCCCATAATTCTGCTGCCTGATGAACTTTACAGATTTGCTTGCTGCTTCCTCTTTTGATGGGTATGTTAGGCTTAATGAATGTGTGATTAATAAACTTGCCAGCTTGGGGCATCAGCCCTCAAAGTCCTCCTGACCCCTGCATTTGACTCTTCTTTTCTCACTCCTGGTCTTCCCCCTCAGAGTTCCAGAACAAACCCAAGAAGAACTGCTGGTCTGATTCACCCCCCTCTCTTATTTCCCCACATCGCTCAAGCTCAAGACCACCCAACCTTCTTTGGTTTTTCTTTGAACTTTGGCAATATTGTCCAGTTGGCTATCGAGTTCTGCTGATCTTGCCTGTTCCGGTCTCATGGCATTTGTTCAAGGATCCCCACACCATTCCTATTGCCTTTGACCAGATAATCTGCCTGCCACTTAAACCACCCTATGATTTTTCTGTCTCTTCCTTTTACTCTTGCAGTTGCCCCATCCTATTTCATTTTTACAAAGCACATATGGATGTGCCAGTTTCTTGACCCCTTTTAAACAAAGACCAGACATTTTCTTAGTCCGACCTTTAAGATTTCCATGGGCTAGGTCCACTCAGCCTTTTGGAGTTTTCTTTCTTTTCTATGCTCTATCCTAATTAAAACATTTCTGGTTTTGTATGGGATTTCCACTTTCTGCAATATGTGGCATTTTACTCATCCAGTCTTTCATTTCCTTGATTGGAATTCTACTTTTTTTGGTGTGTTTCAAGGAACAATTCAAAATTCACATGTCTTGCCAGGTGCTAGTAGTGCATGCCTTTAATCCCAGCACCCCGGGAAGCAGAGGCAGGTGGATCTCTGAGTTTGAGGTCAGCCTGGTCTACAGAACTAGTTCCAGGACAAGCACAAGACAGGGAGAAACCCTGTCTTGAAGAACATGAAGCTTCCCTCCTGGGTTTCTCACTGTTTTCCTTTGAATTCCCAAAGCATTTTTCCTTGCCCAAAGTCGCCATCACTCTTTTCCATGTACTATAAATATTCATGTTTCCACGTCTTTCACAAAAGCTTACAGCACTTTAGGGGCAATATTAGGTTGTGTTATTTTTTGATTCCTTAGCTGTTGGCTCTGTGGCCAGCAATGTGACACATACTCAATTAGCCAGGCAAACTGTAGCTCCGACAGTGCAGAAAGTGCTTCTCAGCTGGACAGTATTCAAAGCCAAGATAGTTAAGTTCAGAAAGAAGATGTTCCCTCTCTTTGTTCCTGATAGCAATCCAATTAATGCTGGGAACCACTTAACTAGTTTAGTTGCCAAGGGCTTAGGGAAAGTCTGGGCAGTGTTTTTGGGTTTGAAAAGCCAGCAACAATTTCTGGAATGACAGAACTCCAATTTCCTTATTTGGATGTTGGAAAAGTCATGGTATCCCTCGTTTCTTAAACAAATGGAGAGGTTTGAAGAGGTATGCTGTGTTCTTTCTTGCCAGCCTACCTCAGACCTATGACCTTTTCTGACTTGTTGGGTATGGCCTTTAGCTTAACTAATCAAAGGCTGACTGGAAGATCATGAACCCTGGCTTGCTCTTGGGCTGTTTTAGATTTATTAGTATGATTATGGATGGGCTGCCTGAAAAAGTTTTCACTTTTTCCTCTTCTTTTTTGTTCCTCCCTTTGCTCTCCTCACTCCCCTTCCTTCGCCCTACTTCATAACAAAAATAACACAAACACACATTCCTTAGTTTCAAATCTTGGTTCCACTCCTCACAAAGAGCCTAGCCTCTCAGATTCCTTGTCTCCAGAACAAAGATAACAAGAAGCCCTGTGGTTGTCAATAGAATTCAATGAGTCAATCTGCCTAGAGCACTTGTATAATACTGTATGAAGGGGCTGGTAATGTCTGCCCAAGGCTGTTGGGAGTTTCTTCCCTCCTGTTGCTCTTAGCCACCAGTCTATCTGGAGAATTTTCTTTACCTGAGCCACCTTTCACAGAAGCCACACCTCTTTAAGATCAGCCTACAGCCAATGACTGATCACACCAGGAGTACAAAAGCCCCACCCTCTTCTGCTCAAGCCATCCCAGCTCACAACTGGCCTCATGGGTTTCACTAAATGTTCCTCTACACCTTACTACAGGCAACCTGTGCCCCTTGGCTCTGCGTCTACTTCCTTCTAAGTGTATAGATGTTGGACCAAGAGCTCTTCCTGACAAGTACATTTCTGTCTCAGAGATTTTCAGCAAGTCCAGTCTCTGACACAGAAGGTGTTCATCACACCCTGGGCCTGTGCATGGTAGATAGGCATATGGCTCTAGCGTTCTGAACCATGTTTTAACACCTGTGTGGCTGGTGCCTTGTGGTGGAGGCTGATGTTTTGGCTCTACCACCCAGACCTCTTTTTCCTCAGAAGTGTTGGTACTGACTTGGGAGTGATATTTAGTAGTCTGGGGAGTTGACAGGGAGAGAAGTTCTCAGTTGAGTCTTTCTCCTGCTGGAGGCATCGGACAGTCTGGGAAGAAGACAGAACAGGGGTTCTCACTCCTTTGTATGATTTATACTGGACAGCTTTCTCCTCTTCGAAGAAGAAAGGCCCCAAAGCTTCCGTAGTTCTGGCCTCAAGCCATAGGTTCCTTGTAGTTATCTTCTCCTACATTTCAGTTTCCTGGCCTTCTTGCTGGGAAACCACAGAAAATTCATTTTTCATCTTCCGAATTGATTCAGAAGGTCCTCTGAAATTAACCCTCCTCTCTAGCCAAGCACCCAGCAACACTGGTTTCAAAAGATTTCCTAGACCTCATTGAGAAGCTGCCTCATTGAGAAGCTGATAATCAGCTGCTTGGGGGGTGGGGTGGGGCAGAACTCAGCAAGGAGATCTAGTTTAGACACCAGCACTCTCCTGTGAGTGACCTAGTTCTTTGCATGCCCCCTCCTCCTACCCATCCTTCAGGGGCCAGTTTGGGCTTTCAGAAGGAATTCTTCCTGAACTTTGACCTCAGTGCCTGTGAAGATGCCCTGTGTGAGCTCTGAAGGGGTAATGAGCAGAGAGTCCCTGTGAAGTGGAGAGATCTTTGCCCTCTCATATTGAGGGAACAAGAAAAACTTTTTCTGAACTTTTGAAAGGACACTTTGGGTGGCAAGGGAGGAAAACTTCAGAGAAAGGCTGATGAGTGGGACATGGTAGAGTGTGGGGTGGGTTAGGGAAAGTCCAGTCAGCTATCAGGTTGCTTACACACCATTAAATATGGGCTCTATATTCAGAGTGCCTAGTTTTCCCAGAGAAGCCAAAAATCCAAGTCCTTTTATATTTATTGTTTTAAATGAAACATGCTTTAAAAATACAGCCTATAAATTCAAAATTTTTAACAGGCACTGAGGGCCAAACTAAGTATATTTGGGTACAAGGCATGTGACAACCCATTTGTGGCCTCAGATTCCCAGAAGAAACCTCTGTTTCTGTGGCTGTCGTTTGGCCCTGCATAGTCACAGATGCTACAACTGCTTCCAACATCTCCTATCAGGACAATGTTTGTCTGTGTGCTCTCCAGTGTCCACTGGCGTTATCATGATAAATCTACCACAGAGATGCAAAGCTGGGAATGTCTATGTGCAAACACAATAGGCAGGGGGAAGAGTCATGGTCAGAGGCTCTGTGTGCTTACTTCAGTCAAATCCAGGACTGTTTTCTCTACATGGTCACTGGAACCTCTCTAAAGTGAGACAGAAATAAAGGATGGAGGTTGTCCCAGGCATTTACATGTCCCCCTCAGAGCCTCAAGGGAAGGGAGGCTAGGCGGGCTTGTGTCCTGTCTGCACCTTGCCCTTTAAGTTCCTCTCTTTGGTAGCAGAGACATGGTATTTTGCCCTTGTTTTCAGGGAAGCCCATCCAAGCAGAGTGTGAACTCCTTGAATTTGGTCCTGCAAGTCTTCAGTTCTTTATCATAGAGCTTCAGGGAGCTCCCACAGAGAAGATAATTACTGGAGGGTGCTCAAATGCAAGTGAGTTAGACTGCACCTGCCAGCCTGGATCTGCTCACCCCTCTTACATCCTTCTCCTTACTGACTCTCCCTCTAGAGTGTCTAAAGCCCCTGTTTCTGTTCCTTTAGTCACTGTCACCACCTCTCTGGTAGTCAGTATTCAGTACTGAAAAGGGTCTCAAATATATTTATTGAAGTCAACAGTCAGTTAGCTCCCATGGTTCTATTTTGAATTTATACCATGGGTTTTCAACTATGACAGGAAGAATCTAGAGACAAGGTGCCTTTCATTTTCATTTTGGAATTCCTGAAGGAGAACCTGATAATAGTCATACTTATTGTACTCAGCCAAGGGAACAACTGAGGTTCAATTCCTGTGCCAGCCTGGAGGAAGAGGTACCTTTTTACTTCCAGATGAAGAACAGGAATTTCCTTTAGTTGTTCCAATTGCTCGTAGTTTGCCTAATGTACTGTATGCATTATATTTATTGCTAGCACAGTGCCTGGCACACGGAAGATATTTAATGCATCTGTTGACTGAGTTTATTCACAGTGGTGAGCATCTGTTGAGGGTCTGTTGATGCACAAGGTTTCTCCATGGTTGAGCTGTCCAGGGCATGTGGAAGAGATCAGTGGGCAGGACCTCAGCATTGTGCCTGCTCAGGTTAGCCTAAAGTAGCTCCCCACTAAGTGAGCTGGCTTCCCTCAGTGTCCTCATTATTTTACTAGAGTTTCATCCTAGACACACCCTGGAAACATGTCTCCCCCGGACAGAGGCCAACACTTTCGAGGCCAACGTCTTACACATAACTGGAGTCCAGGCAGATAAGCACACAGCAGAGTCACACCCAGATGGAGATATGAACCAATAGAGGCTCTATTTGGTACCCTCTGTTGAGGAATTGGCTCAGGGAACTAGCAGGGGTGGAGGGAGCAGGACCCTGCAGAGATCCACAGCCTGCCAGGGGAGCCAGGGTAAAGTGAACAAGCTGGTCCCAGGGTTACATTGTGTTTAGCTCCAGCACTGTGACTCCTGGGTTGGAAGTCCTCTCACTAAAGAGCCGTCAGCTTCACTTATGTCACTTCCAGAAAAGATAATTGCCTCAGATGCCAGATCCCTCACGCTCCTCCATATGGAACACTGCACAGTTTGCATTCCATACTGTCATCTCATCCTTTTATCCCAGAATGTTTTGGGGGAGACTTGATATTTGGGGAGCAGTGGCAGTTACTCTGCACATATACTCTCTGTTCTGTGCTATCTGGGGCACAACTATTTAATTTTGCTTATCATCATCTTTCATGCAGAAGGTCCTCTCCCATATTTTCATAACCCTCAATCTAAGTCCAAAGTCATTTCCCTGTGAAGTCACTTCAGAGTTCTCTGAGGTGAAAGTCCTATCTCTGTGATCGCCTACAATTCTTCCTGTATGGTTCACATTCCACCTGGCTAGTCTGTTGTGTTACTGTCCATTTTCATCATGAAGTATTCATTTGTCCAGGAGAGGTCTACATTTGATTTCTGTCTACATCCACAAGGAGACTGGCACAGGGCACTCAGAAGGTGCTCAACAAATGCTGAACATTGCTTTAGATCAATATTAATTAAGAGCAACTTTGCCTAGATATGTAGTTAAGGCAAATCTCTCTTTTATGATGCATTTGTGGTAGCTGCTGTGTGATCAGGGCCTGGAAAAGGGAAGAAGTGTCATAATGGCTCATTTCATACATAGAAATAATACCAACACAGGTGGCAATAGTTCCTCCAACAAGCAGGGCAGTAACAATCAAAACAGAATCATACCTTAATATTGTCCTCTGGCCAAGAGTTCAGCATTGTTGCAAGATGGCCCTTGTCATGAATGGTGATAAACAGCCCACTAGGAAAAATAAACATGTACACATAGAGAAACCAGGCAATCAGTGTAGAAACAGCAAAGACCATGAACGCTGGTGTCAATTGCATTGCTGACTTTTGCCCCCAGCCTCAAGGAAGATGGATCTTATATCAAAACTCTGGAGGGTTCTGGTGTCTTTCCTTTAATTGCTTCTCTCCATAGCACCAGGAGTGCACTGGGTCAAGGGCATGCCCACCTGGAGCCATCTTCTCTAGAGAATGCATTTTCTCTCCTTTTATCTTTAGATCTGGTACCAGAATCCCAAACTACCTCAGTGACTGCCTGGGTCTGCTCTCCAGGTATGTACTGCATGGTACAGACCACATGGCCAGGGCCAGAACGTGAACATGTGGGTTGGGATGTTCAGATGCATATACACCAGGCCTCTGAAATGGGAGATGTATCTGGGAAGGGAAGCAGGGTAGGGGTGCCCAATGAGATACTTTTCTCTGCAACACTGGAATCTAACAACACCAAATTCAAATTTAGCCTTCCAGTTTATAAGACGGTGCAGATGTAAATGTAAGACACTAGACTATGCTACGTTTAACAGCTTGTTACTTGGTTTAGAATGCTTATTGTTTAGACTTAAAGGTTGTGGTTATGAATCTTCTGTTTTAGGATTAGAGATGAGAGGATATGTGTACATTTGTGGGATCCCTTCTCTCTCTCACTCTTAGATAACCCATAAGATTTACATATTCAAGTCTTTATTATTTTTAAAAGTGAAACATGACTCCTGGCTTCTGGTAGTGGCACAGGATAACCCTTCTGAAGACAATTATAAAATCACTCATATATAAATATATATATAAATATTTTACATTACTGCTATGATGGGAGATGTCATTCTGTAAATATGTTTCTCATACTGGTTAATGAATAAAGCACTGTTGGCCAATAGGAAAGCAAGATAGGTGGGATTAGGAGACAAGGAGGATTTGAGGAAGTAGTAGTAGGAAGGAGTCAACATGGAGAGACAGGGGAGAGCAGACTCTTCGGTAAGATGAGACCACATGGAAATACTTAGATTAATACAAATGGGTTAATACTTAAGACAGAGCTAGCTGATAAGAAACAAGTAACTGGCCAACAGCATTATATCAAATACAGCATCTCTGTGTGTTATTTGGGGCTGGCGTGGCGGTGGGACCAGACCGGCGGAAAAACCTTACTCGTTACGTTACACTTCTATGCTATGAATATAGCTTTTCCATTTAGAGTAGTGGAGCTTGGTCAAATGATGGTAGAAACTGCATGAGCATATGCTTTTGAAAATAGGTATTATTTTCTGAGATTTACAGCTCTACAGTGTTTTGCCAGAGAGGAGGCCCATCTTCAAACAGCTGAGAACAACAGAAGGGCAGACTTACAGATTGAGTACCTGAGAACAGGGCTGGGATTAGGAAGCATCTGGATTGTGCAGGGGGGGGGGGACATCTGAAGGGAAGAAACTTCAGGGAGAAGTGACTTGAAAGTTTCAGTATAAAAAGCCCAGTCATCAACTGCCCATGAATAGCATGGAACACTGACACAATCAGTTGTAGCAAAAAGCCCAAAGAACTGAGCAGAGACCTCAGTTCTTATTGACTTGGGCAGATGGAACTTGGAATTCGAATTCAGTTTAGTAAACTCTCTTCGAACAAAAATCTGCATTTTAAAGAAACAAAATACAATCCCAGAGATACCCATTATCATGACCTGCTTATTTTATTTGTGTTTGAATTTCCAAAGTAAAATAAGTGTGTGTGTGTGTGTGTGTGTGTGTGTATGAGAGAGAGAGAGAGAGAGAGAGAGAGAGAGAGAGAGAGAGAGAGAGAGAGAGAGAAATGTCCACACACAGATGCCTGTCACACATGCATGTAAAACTCAAAAGTTGAGGCTGGGCGTTGGTGGCACACACTCTTAATCCCAGCATTTGGGAGGCAGAGGCAGGTAGATCTCTGTGAGTTCCAGGCCAGCCTGGTCTATAGAACTAGTTCCAGGACAGGCTCCAAAGCAATACATAGTGTTTTGAAAAACAAACAAACAAACCAAAACAACAACAACAACAACAAAAAAGGTCAGAAATTGAAATCATGAATTTTCCACCTTATTTTTTGGTAGTGTTTGGCTGGACTGGATGACCAGCAAGCCCCAGAGCTATCCTTGCCTCTCCCTCCCTAGTGATAGGATGGCAGATGCTCATTGCTGCCTTCAGCATGTTTTAAATGTAGGTGCTTGGTATTGCACGTAGGTCCTCTCACATTTGTATGGGAAGTGCTGTTTCCTATTGAGCTATTTCTGCAACCCCCATAAAGAGTCCTGAATGCAATCCCTTACTAGAACTATTCTTTCTCCTCTCTTCTATCACTAAACTAAAAACAAACAAACAAAAAACAAAAACAAAAAACCCAACTTGCTTGCAGAAGCTGCCTGCACTTTGTTCCTCTGACTGCTCATGCTTATTCTTTTATACTGGCTGGCCATCCAGCCATGTTTGTGATAACATTCCTCAAATACTTCCTTTCAGTATTTCACTTTCACTCTTCTATGTGATCTCATCAATGTCAAAGGCATTTGGCCACTGACTTTCAAATTGAACACTAGAACTCTCATTTTGGGTGCTATTGACATTTAAAAAGTATTTTTTTTTATTAATGTAGTTTTTACATTCCAACCCCAGTTCCCCCTCCTCTCTTTCTGCTCCCCTCACTTCTCCCCACCTCCATCTGCTCCTTGGAAGGGGTAAGGCCTCCTCTAGAAAGTCTACTAAGTCTGTTCCATCATCTCCTTGAGGCAGAACCAAGGCACCTCTCCACCCCCATGCCCCTGTGTCTAGGCTGAGCAAGAATGGGTTCCACTAAGTCAGTTTGTGCATTAGTGTTAGATCTTGGACCCACTGCCAGTGGCCTCATATATTGACATTTTGGGTTAAAGAATTGTTTGCTGTGTGGGTGAGGTTGCCCTGAGCCCTGCAGGGTTTTTGGTAACATCCTTTGCCTGTACCTACTATATGCCTGTAGCAGCTCCACTCTGCTGTAATGACTGTCTTCAGTCATTAGCAAATATGCCCAGAAGGGACATTTAGACTTCTGTATTAACTTCCTACCTGACATGTGTCAAAGGCACTCAAACTTAACATGTCTTAGATCAAATTTATGATCTAGTCTTTCACCAGCCATCTCTCAAAGACAAAACTGACTCATTCCTTTCAATCTCAAGCTGTCAACCACACTGGCTTCCCTTCCAGACCCTGTGCTGCCATGCACCTCCTACCTCAGTGTGTTCTGGTGGTTTCTTCTGCCCAATACCTTTGTGCTTCCTCACCCTTCATGTAGTAACTCATTCTCATTATTCTGGTAATTTCCAAGTCCAGGTAAAAGGTTCTTGGTATGAGTAAATATGCACAGACATATTTACTGTGTGTTTCCTTGACTAATTCTCCCTTACTAGAATGTAAGCAATACAAGGGCAAGCTCTGCATCTTCAGCACCATTACCTTGGGCTTAGCTTATGATATGTGCTGAGTACATCATCTTTGGACAAATGGAGATGTAAGTCAATAGGTGATGGTGTTCAAGTGATAAATGAGAAAACTGTTGGATAAAACCCTAGTTTTTGAGAGCGGGCACTAAGGCAGTTTGTGTGTGTACCCCGAAGGAACCCTGTGAAATGAATGGCAGTGGGTGGTACTAGACAGTGCTGGTAAGTGGATGGATGATGGCCCAGGGAAAAGAAATATACTTGGGTATAAGGTTCTATTTTTGAAGTGGACAGTATAAGCATCTGAATTAACTTACCCATACAGCTTGATGGCTTCCAGGGGAATAGTACTAGACTATACCATCCCTAAAAGTGTCTCTTCCTCTTAGAGACTGCTTTGAACTAGGTCATTGCATACTGAAGTTTTCAGGGGGGAAAAAGCCATACCTGCATTCTACAAGGTGTGACTATGGAGGGGTTGGAATGTCGCCAGATTATCTTCTGCTATCTTTAGTTCTCTGTGTCTGACCTGACATCCTTTGATTTTTCAGGTAACTACTTTTGGAATGTATTAACAGATCTCTTATTCCACCAAAAGCCAAGAATGCTATTAGATAACATCTGAAACCTGTAACAGATTGAAAAAAAATATTTTTTTCTGTGCTATAACCTGACTACTTGATGCTCCCACCAATGTATAACTTCCTTTTGTTGTTTGACTGTAAGAATTTCCTGCAACTGTTATCATATTGAAATTAGGCAATTTGGGGAAACCTGAATCCATGTTCCTGGATCATGGTCACCCATACATGGTTCCAGGATAAACCATGTCTTATCCTTTAGTGTTGAGAACTATGTTTTACATGGTCAGACCCAGAAAAAAAGACATCTTTTCCTTCTTTTCTTCCTTCCTTCCTTTCTTCCTTCCTTGAAAAAAGGCACTTAGTAAGCACCTTGCATGGCCAGGAATTCACCATGTGTAACAGGGTGGCCTTGAATTCACAGAGATCCTGAGTGCTGGGATTAAAGGCAAGAGCTACACTAAGCTTGTTTTCCTTTAGCAAAGAACATTTAACATTTATTTAATAATTTGTGCAGATGCATCCATCTTACCTGCACAAAGAAACTTACTGATAACCCTTGCTTACCTCACTTGTGGATATCTCAAAATCTCTTTCCTTTAGCATCCCCCACCCACACCTTTCTTTTGTTTTATCTAAAACAGCATTTTAACTCGAAGTTCTAATCACTCCTTAGGCTATACTTGTTTAATTCCATTTTCCTCTTGTTAATCTGTCTTTTGCGAAAGGGCTCATCCCAGCCGAGAACTATGAAGGGCAGGCAGGCTAGTGTTTATCTCCTACAAGGAGGCTGGTTCATTCAAACTAGGATAACCAGGTATCAGACCCCAGATTTACTGATGTCTCTCTTAGGGAAATCACTTAATCCACAGTAATGACCATGGCACATTTCTGGCCTCTTGATTTTATTTTGGAAAGGTTTCTTACTTCTATACC